ATATCCTTGGGTAAGAATTAAAGAAATAAATAAACAAACAAATAAAAATTAAATAAATAAATAAAAGTCCCCCAAATTGTATAAGGCTCGGGTCCCACAGCCGAGATCTGACCCTGGTTGACTCACACTGTGTTTTAAAATTACGGATTTCCAGTTCTTTTGGACAACTGGAGGAAATGGCCACAACTGCCTGTGGTCTCTCCCTAGTGACTACAGTCGACCAGAGCTGGGTCGTGGCGGCCCCATTTGGACAGGCCACCTGCTGCCGAGCTTGCTGGGCCTATCATTGGGTTTGCAAAACTGTCTGCTTACTGTGTGTCTGCCAGGGCACCCACCAAAGTGATCTGCAAAGTTCCCCGAGTACATTTCCAATGCATGGATGAAAGAGGGCCGAGTGCGCCCCTGGACACGTGACAGGAAAAAGAGAAAACAGACAAGAGGCGATTCCAGGAACAGGCACTGAGGCCAAGAAGACCATGAGGCCCAAGAAGACCGCGATGGCCTTGGGTGGGGTGAGGGGCTTGTGCTGAGAAGGGGGGAGCTGGAGGCCCTGAGGCCAGCAGAGGGGAGCTGTGGGTTTGTCCGCTCACCATCCCTGGCCCTGTGACCTGGTAGCAGAGCTCATGCTGACCGTGAGGAAGTCCATAGGGGGTCAGCGTTCAAGCTGGCAACCCTGAGCTGCGCCGCAGACAGCCTACAGACACAATCGCTCCCAGTTTGTGGAGGGTGGAGGAAGGATCACGGCTGTGGAAGGCCGAGTTCTAAGGTAGCCCTGGATGGGCTGCACCCTGGGACCACCCTTCAGCCTGGCAAAGGCTGGTGAGTGGGACTGACACTGTCGTGATTAGGCTGCAGTCTGTGGCCGAAGTGATTTTGCAGGTGTCATTAGGGTTTCTAATTAGTATGATTTTGAATTAATCAAAAAGGAGCTAGTCCTGGGCGGGGCCGACTAATCAGATGAGCCCTTTAGAAGAGAATTCTCTGAGAGAGGTCCTCTGACTGGCCTTGAAGAGAGAGCCTTGGTCAGTTCTAGAGCTGCAAGGACCTGAATCCTACCAACTAGTGAGCTTGGAAGACGACACTAAGCCTCTAATGCAACCACTGGCCCGGCCAACGCCTTGACTGCAGCTTTGTGAGGTCCTGAGCTAAGGACCAGCTAAGTCAGGCCCAGAATCCTGACCCATGGAAACTGCGAGATAATGAATGTGTATGCTGCTTTAAGCTGGTAGTTCGTTAGGCAGCCAAAGATAACTGATGGCAAAGGTAAGTCATAACAAAAGAGGTGTCAGGATTGCTTGGAATCAGCAAGAATAGTTGGAGGTGAAGAGAGGGTGCAGAGGGGAGCTTAAAACACGCCAAGAAGAGTAAGTTGTTCTGGGCACTCCACATGCATTATTTCACGTAAACCCTCCCACTCTTCTGGAGGCAGGTCTAACTCCATGAAGATGCTGAGTGTCTCCCAGGACTTAATAACTCACTCCAGGTCACAGAGGCAGCTTCCGGATGCTAGAAGCTCCCGTGTCTCCTCTCCATCACACCCTGGGCTCACTCTACGCCTCAGGAGAGAAAGTCACGGGGCAGCCAGGCAGGAAGTGCTGCAGAGGCGATTACAGGGGTGATCACAGTGTAGGACGGAGCCTGCTGGCCGGCTGTTGCATTAGCCTGCTGCTCCCAGAGCACGCAGGCAATGCTGCTCCCCTAGGAACATCCTCGTCAAATTCCACTATTTTTTTTCCCCACAAAAATTGCTTGCATAGAGAGGCAGAAGGATGAGCTTCTATATGAGCATATTTATATCCATAGGTCCACGCCATAGGGGGTGTAAGTCCCAGAGGGCATCCCCACAGTAATGGGAAAACTGAGGAGGGCTATGGTTACCAGCATTTCCCAAACGCACTCAAAAAAGAAACTATGCTTCCCTACACCCACACACACCACATGCAGGCACACAACTGCACGCACACATACACACACGCACCACGCACAGGCACATGACTACACACACACGCACACGCTTGCACGCACACATATACACATGCACACATGCACACCCCACACATGCACACACACACGCCTACAGAGGAAAACGATTTACTCCTGTCCAGCTCTTCCAGGTCATGCAGACCCTTACGTTCATGCTGGCTTCAGCTGTTTTTATCACAACTTTCACTAAAAAAAAAAAACTTGACTTTTCTGCCAAGTCGCCTTTTCCTCAGCTCCACAGTCCTCAGGATAAAAATCTATTTGGCTTTCTTTTGTTTTTAAAGCTGTTCAGAATAGTTTTTTCTCTACTCCGATAAATTAGCAATGTTCCTTTCCCCACCAATCTCTTCCCACAGAGTGCCCCCCTGCCACGGGCATCCCCGAGCTTGCCAGGATCCCTGCAGGCTCCTGTGCATCCCTGTAAACCTCCCTCCCTCTGCTTGACCTGTTTCCATAGAAGACCAGGAGTCTGGGGTTCGGCTGAAGACAAGAACAGGCTGCTGGAAAGAGGGGTCAGGCTGCTTCGCAGGCGCGATAAAACCCCTCTTCCCACGTTTACATCTTAACCCCAGGAATCGGTGGCAAAGGGGAACAAGGTGACAGATGGGAAGGACTAAGGTTGATAGTCACTAGGTGGGCCCAGTGTAACCACAGGGTCCTTCAGTGCGGAGGGGGGTAGAGGGGAGAGGGCAGAGCCATACCACAGGGTAGGAACTTGACCCCCCACTAGCTGGCTTTGAAGATGGAGGAGGGGCCACAAGCCAGGAGACACGGGCTGACTCCAGAAGCTGGAAAGGGTGAGAAAGCAACTTTCTTCTAGATCCTCCAGAAAGGAACAGCCCTGCAAACACCTTGGTTCCAGCCCACTGGGAGCATTTCAGACGGACCTCCAAACTGCAGAATAAACCTGCGCTGTTTCAAGCCACTCAGCTTGTGGCAGCTGAGAGCCATACGCTCTGTGTGGGGATGTTGCTTCCACACAGACACCCCTCCGGACACCCCTCCCTCCTAGAATCTCACCCTCCTGGGTACACAAAAGGGCGTCCCTGGAGGGAGGGGGGGAGCTCCGTGGCCAGGCCACTGCTCCCAGATCGGACGGGTGGGCTGCTCTGCCTCCCCTCCCTTCCGACACGTCAGGGATTCGTGGTCCATCCCAGAGACCTTATTTACACAAACGACTGGTCAGATCCAAAGAGTGGGCTCAAGAATCAGAGAATTCCAGCAGAGGCCCAAACTCAGGGCATTAAAAAGTGTACCATGAGTTACGGTCATGTCAGGTCTTTATCTGCTGCCTACTGATGTTTTGAGGGTTTAGGGGTCTCCTGAGACATAGGCAGGCCTGTGTGACAGATGATACCTGGAGACCCTCATGCATTAAGATTGCAAACAAATTCAACCGGACTTTACCGACGTCTATGTCTGTTTTATTTTCTATGCCGCCAACTATTAAGCGTCTTCTTGAAAGCAGAGTCTTTGTTTCATTTATTGATGAGTCTACACCACCGGGCACATTCTGGACACGAATAATTCGGTCTTCGACTTGGAATGGACTTTGCCCTGAGGAGGGAAGCACTCCAGGGAAAAGCCCTGGAGCCTTCCCGCGCTGAGCCAGGCCCAGCTCTGGCCGGCCCCTGCTCCGGACACCCCTCCCTCCTGGAATCGCACCCTCCCGGGTACACAAAAGGGCGTCCCGGGAGGGAGGGGGGAGCGCTGTGTCCCGCTGGACGTGCGGACACGCGGAGTCAGGTTTGTCCGGACGGCGCAGACGCGTGGGCTTGAGCTGCGAGATGTATGAAGTCTGTGCCTGCGACCCTCTAACGGGGAGAGAACGTGGGCACTTCGGTCTGCAGGGAGCTCTGCTCATCCGCAAGTGGCCCCGCTTATCTGAAAAGCGCGGG